ACTGGGTCTCGATTCAAACGAAGCATTTTGGTAGCGGCATAATGGGGTTCTTCTGTGGTGAGATGTGGAAACACAATCCGTTTTCGTCGGATCATAGACACATGACTAACCCTATCCGAGACTTTTTTTGGGAAAGATAAGCATGGGTGTAGGTAGCAAATAAAGCGTAAACAGAAAGGCTAAGAAACACTGGGCAGCTCTTTCAACCTGGTTGGCTCTCATCACCAGTGCAAATTCATCGACCCAACTGGGGATCTAACCCGAGACCTCATGAGCAGAATGCACGAATGCTATCCACTCGGCCACCGTCCAGCTGATCAGACCGTTTTGCATTTTGCATTTACGCGATATAGCACAATCCATCTTTGTGAGCTTGTCGCAGGCCACGGACCTCGGTGATCTCAGTAATAGCCTCCGGGGATATGACTCAGTTGGAAACAATCACAACCTGTCCACTTGTGTTATGTGAATAATGGAGGATTTGATTCAATTTCAAAGGTTCACTCCCCAGTTAAATCGATGGACATGTTCACTGCTGATGAGACCCAAACAGGTCGAAACAGCTGCCCAGTGCTTCCTAGCTTCTCAGTTCACGCTTCATTTGCCATATAGACGACGAATTCCCATTTGAAATAAGTGTTAATTTTTGGACTCTAATTCTCGGAGTCATGCCCGAAGAAATGTAAGCTCTCCTTGGATAAAATGTTCCATTTGGAACAGTGCAACGAACTCTACAGGAGAATTTGGTAAAAAGAATAAAAATAGTGTCGATTGATGACAGCACCTCAGAGAAATACCCTCGTTTACTGTGGGCTGAAAGATCAGTTAGATGGTGAGACAACTGGAAATTGGTTCACTTTAATAAGCAATACAGTGGAAGTTAACTTGGACGGAACGGACACGTGTAACTACTAGTGAAACTATTTAGGGGGGGGGGGGGGACAAGCAGTATTTCAGTTTACAGAATACCTATAGAAATTCGTTGACTGTATGACAGCACTTTTATTAGTTCACCGTCCGCGGTATTCACACAATGGTTTGGGCTTCCTGAATGCAGTTGAGATCTCAGCCTGATTGAGAACAACTGGTGGACGCATTTTAGACAACTTGGGAATATATTTTACGAAGACGGAAACAAAAGGCACCGAAATGGGAACGGTTTAGAAGATGAGCGCAAACGTTGTATCAGAGTTCTGACGGGAGAGCAATCGATTCAGGTCATAATAATACGTGTTATTCGTTTTTTTACCTCAATTGGGGGTATGGTGTCTCAGAAGTAGTGTTGTATTGCATTCAGTAAAGGCTGAACAATAGAAACTTCGTATTTAGGTGGTTTTTGTAGATTTCCGAAGGCGTTTATCGCATCACGTTCATCGGGCGAGATACTGTTCAAATCTAGCCCGAGGGAAGGAGGCAAACAAAACGCGTTCCGCATGTAACTGAAAGCAAATGTACTTATCTCTTGCGTTGTTTTTTTGTAAAAGTATTTCAGTGTGACAGAGGATTAAATTTGTCTAATACAGGTATTGATCGAACTGGTGCTACATGATTCTCATTTTGGAAATGCATTTCACTTTTCAATATCGTACATCGACAGCTATGGATGAAGATTATTGATTCCGAAATTTATCTCTCACGGTAATGTTCCTAGTTCTCTTGTATCTGCGTTGAAATTTGCTCGGCCTTGAGTATCGAGATAAAATTTGTAGTAGTTTAGAAGTTACAGCTCAGAAATAAAATAAAAAATATTTTATGCAAAGCTGAATGGAAGTTCATTCTTTTCAATAAATTACGGCTGGTTCATAAGAGTATTTATTCTGTTCAATACAGGTATTCTAAAAATCTTGTATTTTGTCAACTGGTGGAAAGTAAATAAGCCGATTAACGAAAATTGTCTAGCTTAAGTAAATTAACAAACTATATGGCTATAAAATACTCACGTAATAACTCTGTTTCGGAAGGACCTAAAAACATATTCTCGGAAACATAAAAAAATTCCTTCGAAATGTGACCTTCAGCAGTGTGGCTCATTAAATTTGCGGCTTTTAGTGTCACCAGGCCCACATCAAATGAACCATCCAAGAGGTTTTGGCATATGTTTGAAGCCGAGATGTAACTTATTCGAGAGACGCATAAATTTAACAAATCAGTTCCCGATTTGAGCCAGTGTTTGAATTTTAACGTAAGCCGAATTTATCGTATAATCGAAAACGATTCCCTGTGTTGGAACAGAGGATAAGCTAGCTACCTCGACGGTGGTCGTCAGTGGCTAGGTTGCAGCGTGTATTAGAGGAAACTGGCAAACATTGTCAGGCAGTCAATTTGATGGACTTCATGCAAAAACGGGTTCAAAAATAAAGAAAGACAAATAGGACACTGACAAAATTACAGTGCAATACCTGTGTCATGTCCATGAATTGATTTTATACATAAATTCTAATGGTATTTTTTTACTGATGCCTTGCTACTTCGCCACTCATGAAAAAAGCAAACAAAATAGGGAAATCGTACATTTAATAGCATTCAACGAAATAGACACAACATCAAATGTGGATATCATTACAAATATGTTACGGTCGATGAGGCGCAACAGCTTATTCCACCACTTGAATGAGGCTCGGAACGCTGAGCGTTGGGAGGAACAAATCTGTCGAAAATTACGGTGGTGCACGAGTTTGATCAATACCTGTACTTTTCTTGGGGGTTGGAGAAATCAGCTGGAATTTGTTGTATGCTAGTAATGGAGGATTTAATTTGCTTATACGATGAATTTGTCGTGTAAATGAGGCGTCAACTGAAAAGCTGGGAAGCACTGGACAGCTGTTTTGACCTGGTCCGGTCTCATCAGCAGTGCGAATCCACTGACCAAACTGGGGATCGAACTCGGGACCTCACCGGTAGAACACAAGCATACTATCCACTCGCACTGTTGATGAGACCCAACCAAGTCAAAACAGCTATTAAGTGCTTCCCAGCTTTTAGGNTATATATATATATATATATATATATATATATATATATATATATATATATGGATAACCCGATAGAAAATATTCTGTCGTGTTCTCTCAAAATATGTATCAATTAATTTAAGACTATAACAGAATTTGGCAATTGAAATCAATCAGATGCATTCGTAATTCCAAACCATTTGTGGATCTATAAAATTTGGGTTTATATGTGCAATAATGACGAAAGTTATTTCATTTTTGTTATGCAACTTCAAGTTCGTTGACAATATTTGATCCATATAATTTGCCGAGGTTCTATTTTGTTGTAATCTTCATTCACACTCTTTTTCTTAGCTCAAATGTTTGTTTCAAATTACCAAAACTATGTGACGTCTAATTACCAAAACGCACATAATATTACGTAACCTATGGTATCCCAAGCGTCATTTGTCTTGTTGCCACTATGAAAACCAAGAAACCAGCTTATTCAAGATGTCGTGGTGGTCGTGGTGGCGATTCTAATCCGTTCTTACACAAACAGTGAAACTGAGTGAGACTGAGGGAAGGCATCGAGAGCAAGAGGGAGGAAACACACTGAATACCTCATTGTACTATTATTTCCATGTTGCATACTACTGTCTCAACTATTATTACTACTACCACTACTATCTTCATTATCGTGTTAAGCCAGTTTCAACCGGTTTCGCTCAGTTGAACTGCCACGTAGTACGTGTGTAAACTGTTCATCACCTGCTGGACGTCTCTTTTCTCCCCTAGACTCGTATAACTTAGCATTATTCTTTTCGTTCATCTGTACATCTTTACTGCCTCCAAGTCATCAAAGCTTTCACTTCATGAATTGGCTGGTCACGATGGCACTGCTCTTACTGCTTCACCCCCCGTTGAGGGTAAGACAACGCATTACAATGTGCTGTGCTACATCACCTCGGCTGTCCATTTGTCCAAACCAGATCGTGCCGGGAGCGGATTTCGTCTACGTGACAGTCAGTCAGAACCACATGTAAGGTGTTACTGTCCACACATACGCACGTACACCTGCGCGCGCGCACACACACAACGATTATTTTTATCCCTGTATCGCGTTTTGTATGCACTCAATAACACGTACGCGTCATAACAGATATTACCGATTAAAAAAGCCCGAACTCTGTAAGCCCCACCCCCGTGTCATCTCAGTAGGTTACTATGTAACTAACACATGCAGCTCAACGTTTAGTTAAATTGTCTTTTTTTGCTTCTGCGGATGCCATGGCTCTTATCCGAAACCCCCGACTGAGATCCAATGAACACGGACTCAGTGGTAGTCTGCTTTCCAAGAAAGAGAGAGAACAATTCGATAGACAGCTAACTATCTCACCCGTCGAATGACAGGTCACACCAAATTCTCTAATCATGGGCGTGTTATCCATTGATTGACTGATTGGCTGACTGACTCATAGTGCCCTTTTCAAATGTGCGCGCACACACACTGATTCAATGCTCCTCGGCCAAGGAGTTTTTTCTTCCTGTCTGTTTTTCGCTCGCTATCTAACTTACTCTGCGAGTTTAATTTGGGAGCTCTCAGATGTGGTTCAACTGTTTCGCAGTAGCCGGCCGACCGTGTTGTGTTGGCCTACTTCTGAACAATGATCAACGTGGAGGCCTACTCTCACCCAGCCTCCCGCAACTCCTACACGAACCTATTCGCCAGTTCAATACAGTCCATTTCCTTTTCCATGCTGCTCCAACACTATCGCGTCTATAGCCATAAGGCAGTCACAAGTCAGTATATAGACAATTGACACTTCACTGTTCTTAATAAATAGATGTCCTGGAACTTGCTATCTCACACACGCACACAGCGACAGACGCGCTTGTCAACTGGATTGAACTCAACCTGTCCACGCTTGTCAAACCCCAGACCGGTTAGAACACGACATTTTTAGCGGGTGATGAGTGACCATTGAAAGACTACACTCAAATGAGTGCTCCACGGATGATCCCGCTCGTGGTCCGAACTGCAAAGCGCAACGTTGCTCTCAGCTCAGCTTAGCTCAGTCGATTGGTCAATTGCAACCGTGGACCATAAATTCCACCAAGATTCAGTGGTTCGTATCGGAAAAACAATGACACGACTGTGAGTGGATAGAAAAATGCGCATACTGTTCGGTTTTAAACACCATTTATGTCATATCAACAGTAAGGCTGTACACAGCAGAAATTGTAACACTATATCCATCTTTGTCGTCGGTGCTATTGTTTCATCATAGTTTCCTGAGAACTAATTTGAAGAGATCGATTGCGAAAAGTTGAAGATAGTGAATTGTGAACTGTACTCCCGATGTTGTGTTGATTTTCGGGCGCATATTGTATTGTATTGTATTGTGTACAACTTTTGCAAGCACTGGAGCTCACATTTCACTTTTTTAAAAAAGTCATACACGCCAGCGGTCACAATGTAGGTAATAAATTGGGGGAAAATTTTTACAGACCTGGGGACATTTCATAAACCAAGATTAAGACAAAGTTCACTTATTGTTCGCTTTTGTTTGTGAGTAAACGAGCAAGATACGGTATAGGTGAATTGCGGTAAGCGTTGATTCGAGATGGGAGAGTGTTGATTGGTGGGAACAATAGGACATCAGTTATGCGTGCAATGGGTAGTCAGGATCTGTGATAATCCTCTCGGAAAGCTTTAAAGTTAACTCATTCAAAGGAATAGAAGAGACACGTCTAATAATAGTTAGACCGCGACGTAAGCCTTTGAAATCCTGTTTGAGTAAGCCAGGAAAAAATAACCGGGGAACAGTAGAGTAAAATGGGAAGAGCACACTGATAAAGAAAGGTAGAAATTACTGACTGGGATAGGCAAAACTGCCTGAGCTTTCGCATTTGAAATGCTAGGCGCCGCAGTTTATCATTACGTGGAGGTGACAGCAATCGCTTCTGCTATTATCCAGGTCAATATAAGCTCTAAGTTAGTGAGTGATCCGATGATGCAGATGTCCGACAGTTTCATCTATCCCCTCCCCACTCCACCCTACCGCGTGTGCGACCTGTCGGGTTTGGTTCATGTTCTGATTCCACAGGTGAAACTACTGTCCACCACTCTACCCCGTCTCCCCCCTCCCCCACCCCACCCCGCCTCATAGGAAATAAACAAAATCTATCGTATCATATATGTCATTACATTTTGGAAGTTCTGCCCCGACTTACCATCGCGATTCATACCCACTTCCAAACATTTGCGTAAACGACATGCACGACATTGATTTCGATGCGATTTATCGATTCGACAATTCCCGGGATTTGGTTTTCCGCCGACCACCGAGCGATTTTTACACACATACTGACGATTGCGTCGAATGGAGCGCTGAATTCAAGAACAAAACAAAAAAGTGAACGAGTGAAGTATTTGTTTCCACAGTAGTGACTAAAAACATGTTTTGGCATTTCTACTAGTTACAAGTGTTATTTTTCTGGTTAACTTGTTGTGTACACGTAGAGAATGACACTAACCCGGGAAAAGGCGATAAGGTAAAAGAAGGAAAATTGATGAAGCATATGCAACGGAGCTAAATGGACATCATCAGCAACAAGAGAGAGACATGCAACGGGTGGCTTCACATAGGTCACGTGTTACACACACTGTGGTTGTGAAAGCTCGTTCGTGTGAATCAGTACAAATACTTACACATAGAAACACCCGCACGTGTATCCAGAATACCAATTGGTCGAATCCTGAACAATCATAGTAACGTGTGCAAGTGTCTGGCTAAATCGGCCATATCAGCTGTCCTACACATACACACAACACACACACAAATGACCTTCCGTAACTGACTGTTTTACGATAACTTTTACCTTCTAAAAAGTTTCGTGTTTTTGGTAAATCCATTTAAATGCGGTGGAAATGTTTGTGATAATCAGCAAAGAGCACTGCACCGCTGTTTCCTCCTGTTTGAGACTCGTCAGCAGTGCGTACGTTTTGTCTCCCTGTCTGGACTCAAGCCGCGACCATTCGGGTTGGGACTTGAAACTCTTACCCCTAAGCTTTCAACTACTGGAGAATCAAAGACCTCCCCAGGAGTGAAATCCACACCCAAGATTGCCAACAGTGCTTGGTGCCTGTGGTAAACCGAATGGGCTAATCCAAGCTTGATACTCTAAATTGATTAAACCATTCGCACAAAGTGATGACCGTCAACCGTGCAGCCTAAAGGTTAGGGTTTGAAGTCCCAACCGAATGTTCGCTCCTCAACTCCTGACAGGGATATGAAAAGTACGAATATTAATTTAAGATGTCATGTTTCTGTGTGGATAGTACGATAGTGTAATTGCTCTATCTTTTCACATTGTCTTGTACTTTTTGTGGTAATCTTGTTTTCACGTGAAGGCCATCCGTGTGGTGATGACTAGCCTGCTGTACAGTCGAAGTTCACTGGGCCTGCTTAAGACTCGCGGTTGTAGACAAGGTGTGGTTTCTCGCTCGGGTTAGCTGGGCAAGCACCAGGTGCCTTGTTGCGGCTGCACTATCCGACCGATCGATAAATGAACCCGATAGGTCTTGTGATTTTCGAGCCTGCTTTGGGGGAGAATAAGTTCTGAATCCGATGCTGCTTAAATGTTGGTAGATAATCGCCACAGGAGAATTAGTTGTGGAACGATGCGCCATGTGGGAAATTCGGAATAAAAAAAGTTCAAGCGATGACGACACTGGGCCAAAGTTTGACCTGTCTAAGATACACGCATCAATTTTCTATGCGGGTTCAGTAAATGGATAATCATAATGAAACTGAACTTAAGTACGAACTACAGTATCCACTAATATAGGCCAACGCAGAACCCTTCTTAGCGTTTTACTAACTGGCTTTTTCGCGTTGAACGATCTTGTTAACAACGGATGAGATAGAATTCCGGAGAAGAGAACAAATATGATTGAAATAATGCANGTCAATATGTATTCCATCCTGCTGCTTGCATAGCGAAATACGGCGAAGATAGTTTTCTTCCACCTTCAGAATAGTAGCAGTTGGAACACTTTCGTACTGCGCGATGGCACTCTGTTTTAGCTCATCGATCGTTCTCGAACATCTTAAATTGAAAAAGGTATAGACTAAAATCCACTTTCAACTTCTAGTTATTGGTGAGTAGCTGTAATGTGGTAAACTGTACTACTACGAACTGGTGATCATTCCCTTCAAGCACAATCCACATTTCCTCCATGCAAAGACAAAACAGGGTAAGCGGATTGTCAGTAAAGACCGCAACGGAACAAACCTGGTTCCGACACTCTGTCAGAATTCTAGTGGAGCTGTATAATACAGGGGCAATACACAGCGTCAGAGTTCATATCCTGGACGGGTGGTTAGATATACACTACTGATGAACTCTGACGAGAGCGAAATTTCGGTACAGTTTATTTCAAGTGGTTAACTGGGTGAACTAGTTCAGGATTGGACATGAAGATGAAATTTGAAGGGTGATCAATCTAAATCACTGACGCTTATCCAGCAACTCACAAGTAACTGCGACTTCAACTGACAATCATAAATCATGTGTGATGGAGGATTTGATTCAATTTTAAGGAGGAAATTCGTCGCGTATATAGCAAATGAAGCGTGAACTGAGAAGCTAGGAAGCACTGGGCAGCTGTTTCGACCAGGTTGGGTTTCATCAGCAGTGAACATATACATCGATCCAACTGGGGAGCGAACCTTTGGAATTGAATCAAATCCTCCATTATTCACATAACACAAGTGGACAGGTTGTGATTGTTTCCAACTGAGTCATAACCCCGGAGGCTTTTGATAAGATAAACTAGGTCCCTGACCCGCAACAAGCTCACAAAGATGGATTGTGCTATATCGCGTAAATGCAAAATGCAAAACGGTCTGATCAGCTGACCGGTGGCCGAAAGCGTGGCTGGCTTGCGTTCTGTCTGTGAGGTCCCTGGTTCGATCCCGGGGGGGGGCGATGGATTTTCACTGATGAGAGCCAACCAAGTCGAAACAGTTGTCCATTGGTTCCTAACTTTTCAGTTGCCCCTCATTTGCTCTATGTACGACGAATGTTGTTTTTAAATCAGAAATCACTCATCACTGAATATAAAACGACTATTTTGACGTTGTGCGACGACGACAATGACAACCAAAACAGTATTACCAGCAACCCCGACTACAATTCAATTTACTTTTCTTTTACTGCGAATATTATAATGGGGTGTATTTTTACCACTTTTAAAAAAATGATCAGATTTGGAAAACGTACCTTGAAAAACCCGGCGCAACTGAACTCCCCAATGCCATCGACCAAGAGTGGGGGGGGGGAGACCAAGTGACGAAACGGACGATAAATTTAGACAGAAGTGTGCAATAAACACACACGTACAGAGGATTGGCGAACACGACATAGACGATAGATCGGAACGGAGTCCGACGATGGTTACGACGATGACGATGACGACGATGACGGCGAGAAGGATGAGCATTATGACGATAATGGGGACGAGGACCGAACGATGATGAGGCGGAACGTGGCATATGGAATAGGATGGGATCAGGGAGAGAAAACGGGGCAGTACTGACAACATTGATAAGTGTTGCATTCATTTAACGTTCTTTGTTTAAATGAGAAATAGTGTGCTTTGTATTATACTAGCAATCAACACTTGCCTGATTGCAGTTAATTAACATCAAAGAGAGTTTTATTTCCCAAACTGCCCCTTCCCCCTCCGCGCGCCCCCGCCTGGGGGTGGGGGGCATCAAAATGGTACAACTGTGAATGATATCAATCGTTCTGAGTGATTCGATCTTGTTCCTTGAATGAGAAACTGGATCATAAATCTTCCTAATATTCAAACATGTTCTGTGAGCCTTCGCAAACTACTTCTGACTTTGCTAACCAAGTTCAGAACGCATACGCAGAACAGTCGATTTCGATCACCCCTATCGGTTTCAGTGTGTTGTTTCAGTGAACTGTGCCGAGGTGTGTTTAATAATACGCTGATTTTAATAATTTCTTGTAATCAAGAGATGATTAAAGATCTCTATTCAACCCGGTGGTCAAAACACCGATTCACGTTGAAGACTGTCACTTCTAAGTGATGTAATCCACCTACCTGTTTAGAAGACGAAATCTTTATGGTTATACATATATGCATATACAGAGCCACAAATCAACTCTCTCCAATCCATGTTTTCATCCATTGCGTAACCTGGTCAAGCCTTCTTATTTGGAATAGATATCAGTGTGCTGAGATTTCAAATCACACCACAGAAAGTCGTCTAACTGATGATAGCTCATCCTCACTGAATAGCGTATAACTGATTGGCTTTTCATTCGACTTTGTCAGAATTGACCGGCCTAGTGCTTCTCATCGATCTGCGTATTCACCTTGAGTTTGTCTTGTAAATCGATTTGACAGAAGTACAATCAATCCGTTTTAGACGTAGGTGACTTGTAATCTTCCTAACCAGGGATATCGGACACCATAATCTGTGTATTTCGGTGGTCTACGGATATCAAATATTGTTGAAGCAAACAGCGCAAACTTCATTCGAAGTGATTGCCTTCCGTATCAGACGTGTGAGAATCAAGGACCGATCCACAGGCAGATTAACCGATAGGTAGACAGACGGACAAATAGATAGAGAGATAAAAAGAGACAGACATAGCGACAAGGATAATTAAAAAATAAACCATAATAACATACCCGTCACATGCATAGATACCGTAATGCTTGCCCGACGAATGGTCCTTGCATACCCGACACGGAATATCCAGCAGAATACGTGCTGCAATAGAGAGAAAAAACGGAAGGAAAACAATGGAACAGTGTGAAGTGACTTGACTGGAATCCGACCAGGTTCGCCTTGACTCAAGTGTAACATCAGACTGACCCACCCCATCTACTCCATTCTACCGTTCAGTCAGTGTACGGATAGATAACCGACCAGTCTATCAGACAAACAAACAGGCGGTTCACCTCATCAGAAGTTCGTTTTGTTGTTGTTGTTGTTGTTATAGTTGAGATTTTGCAGTCAGTTGTGATGACCAACAAAAGATTTCAGCAATCAACCCCTCCCTCCGTTCTCCAACACACTCCTTGTCGTCCGTTGCACACCCATCTACTTGATTCACCTGATCTTCACTCCTGTAACCTATTATCAATGAAAGGATGGATATGGACGGTACTATACAGACTCTATAGTCAGTCACATCTCGATTTGACGATGCTCCATTGAAGTGCTCAATACGGTGAGAATGCCGGAAAGTCATTACCATCAACTGATGCATGGACGTGTGCGCGTATGTACACAAAAATGGCAGTCGGGCAAGCGGGTGGAGTGATGATGTATATTGTTCGAGTTAGAAATGGCTTGTCGTTTACCAGACAAATGTATATGTCAATCAAGATGATACGTCGCCGTTTTGTCCCTGCCCCATAATCCGGTCGGTCAAAAGCAGCAGCACCCTGGCACACACAGACAAGCACACATTTCAAAAAAGCTTTCCATGGAAATGAAAATGTGTGAATGTCTCCGTGTATTTACTGATAGAAACAGATATGATAAGGTTTCTGGAAAAGTCTGACAGAATTTGACCGCCCTCGGTTTGTGTGCGTGTGTGTGTGTGTGTGTGTGTGTGTGTGTGTGTGTGTGTGTGTGTGAAAGCATGTAGCTCAAACCAGTCTCTTCTCTATATGGACAAAACAAGTCAGTACACTGCGATAACCGGTTTCTGTGTGAGCGAGAGCTACAGAAAGGTAGGAAGTAAGGCAGATCGATAAATGCAGTGATACGATCCGTGTTTGATACGATCCGGGGATGCTCATGAGATTTGGAAGCATTCCTTTAAGAATGCAATTTTTTATCGAGGAAATTAATGCCACAAATGGCAATTGTAATACTTCGATCCACCCACTACCCGTTTGGTGGAATGAATCGTGTTTCTGGCATAATGTATATGCCCGCCCATATCCTTGTTTCATTTACCAGTAAATCCGATAGTCATATTCAATATACCATGGTAGAATGCAGTCACGAATGCATTGATTTGAAGAGGCCGAAAAAACTTTTCGATTGTGGGAAATTAATGCGGACCCCATTCGATACATTTCCTTGTAAACAATTAGGTAATGTCCGGAGTAGATTGTAACGAATAGTCTGCTTTTCAACAGTGAATGACGAGAGAAGTTAGTTTCATCGGATAAGAGACAATCACTTTCCCACAAACAATAATCGTAAAATGTCAGGCCAAGTCCAAATCGAATCAATTTACACGTAACAGTTTGAGTACTAAATACCCAGGAGAAGATGAAGTATAAACCAACCAGGATAAAGTAAAATTTGACGAAAGTTTTCGCAGTCACCCAGTCAAGAGTTTTTCCTTAAACCTCAAACCAGCAATTTGATGTGATCAATGAAAATCAGCCCAAAGGTAATGTGTTGCTGAAAATTTCTAGCAACTATATAAAAGTCTACTAGCCTTGTAACACCTGAGTAATATTGTTAGTTGTACCTAGTTGTAGCCTATCTCAAACAAGCATACATCTAACCACTGGTTTATTGATTGGGCTAATTGCTCCCAGGGTTGTTTCTGATTTTTTCCACCTAAAATGGTCCTGTCTACCAGCCGAGCTGTGATATTGCCGTGAATTGTTCTAATATTCCATGACATACAGACACCAACACCGAATAAAGAAATTCTTTTTGTTTTTTTCCCCTTCAAAAGGGTGTCACTAACTCACCTAACACACGATAATCAGAACCAGAAGTGGCTACAGGTTCTGCCTTGATCTGTTGTGAATCTCGACTGTCAACAGCAGTTTGTCTCTTATTCAATGAGAACTATTTTGAATACAATACCATCGGAACGACCAAAAACCAACGGACAAGTTTCAAGTTTCTCTGAGATTTTTCTATCACCTATCATCACTGTTTGTTTCAATTTACGAAGACTGCACAGAGTTAGGAGATTTTTCCGTTGCTATAGGAAAGTTTAGTTTATTTTAAACTCTCCCCGTAGATACCGTATGGTGGACACCTCGCACCTCCGACCGACAAAATAACTTAGTGTCGTGTGCACTGACACATCGATGATGTAATTGCTGTTACCGTTTGCTGGATTGAAAAGAGTTATTATACAATAAGTCAAAATTGTCATGGAAAATAGTACGAGACCTTGCCGTTGCGTCATTTGCACGTTCCATCCCCGTATCTCTAATGTATTTTCTTTTGTAAATTTTCACTATTTCAGATCGACTTTCTGTGTACTTTTTAACAACACATCTACAGTGATCAGAAGCTCACGGCCAACAGTTAATTTTAGTAGCCTCCAAAAGCCTCAGGATGGTCGGGGATGAGTGTCTAGGGTTGCGGCTGATCGCCCCGTCCTTGCATCTCGCGAAATGTTCCCACACAAAACAGCTTCTTTAATAGCTTCTCTAATCACTACCTTCTCGTGGCGGAGGTGTTTCCTCACTAAAGTGAGAGGACGAAAAGCCGACGTCGGGGGCTATGATTGGGTTGGTGGAACATCTAGGGGATTTATCCAAAAACCCTGATTCCAAACCAACCGAGAAGAGACGTACGAACTACACACACACCTTTCCGGTTGTGGCAATGGTCACCGGCCCAGTTGGGCATTGAGGTGTATTGGGCACCTTGGACAATTGACCCCGTCTAAAGGGTGCATGATCCGATGAAATGGATACCGGCTCCCAATAGATTGAAGTTTTCACACCGCACCGCTACCTTGCAGGTCAGACTTTGGCTAGCTGAATGCTCCGGTTTTGAATGCCTCAATAAATTTTCACCTGCCTTGGCTTGGGCAAGCTAGCAGTATTCCGCCCACAAGCAAATCATGGAACGCTTTTCTTTTTTATAAAGATTATTGCACTGTAATATATAAATATTTCAGTTCAGTTTCAGTTTCAACTATTAACTGTGCACTTTCGTGCGCCGATTTTGGTTGCCCACTTTTGGTCTCCCATTTGGATTAGAGAGCAGAAAAATGAAAGATAAATTCAAAAAATTCTCCTCAGCAACTTCGTTGGTTTCGCGTGGTCACTACCGCTTGCCAACCGCCACCAGTCGTATCAATTCCGTTGATGGGTTCAATAACGCTGACCAATCCACTATCCGGATGACATTCTAATCTTCGACTGGCAATAGATAATCTACATGAATGTGGACACTAGTCCTGAGGAAACTGTGGTTACTTTCCCCTCCCACCCATACACACACACACACACACATCTCTGTGCTGCCCTGGTGTTTCCATTTGGACTCGCCGAAGTTCTTTGGTCTTTGTTTTTTCAGTGCTATGCCCTCGGAGCTCATCATCCAGCGCCAATTGGAATTCAAAGACCGCTATGCTCATTTAGTTTTCAACCCAGACATGCACTAATATTCGACAACTGTTAAACATTGAGTCCCAGATTAGCTCTCTCTCTCTCTATGGTTGAGGAAAATATCGGCATCAGGTTTGTGACAAAAAGCAAGCCTGTTTCAGTGAGAAAAACAAATCCAGACTGTGTCGAACTGAACAGTTTTGAATGAGTCGACTACACTGACTGACGCGGTCCTCAAACTTCAAAGTTAATACATTAAGTGCTTAAGCAATTGGATCTTTGGACACAATCACTACCAGCAAAATATAAACGAGCTGATATTTCTAATTCCACTAATTGACATCAACAATGTGTATCCTAGTGGGGACTTTAATAACAACGCTTTGAATCAGGAGCCGAAGCTCGGTCCATGAAAATTCCATCGCAACATGTGGGGAGGGGTAACAGCATTCCGAGAACGGATTCCATCAACCTCTCAACCCTCATAGACACAGACTTATAGCAGAAGAGAAATTTGTCGACCCTGGTCCTTATAAGTTCGCAAGGGCGAAACGAGAAAATGTCAAGCATAAATCTTTAATGGCAAACTTAACGTATTTTGTAAACCCCAAATACGATTCATTTTATTCTTTGGTGCTCTTGTTTTAGACTCGTGTGAAATACAAACAAATTGGAAAACTATCATTTAGAACGTCGGAGTTTTTGTGACAAAAGAATTTCTTTTTAGATCGAGGGGATCGGATGAGTATTTCCAAAAGTTTGTTTCGCCCAGGAAAATGAGAAACGATATTTGTGGTCACGAACTATCGAAAGGGATGAGTGAAGGTCAAATTAACTCAGCATTTGCTTTGATCTCTTATGTCTGAGTGGTAAGATAAAGTGAGTCGCACAGTCGCCCGGCGACAGATATTTGGATGAATTTTCGTTCGAACCCTCTACAAATCAGAAATAGTACACGGCCAAATTGACGAGTCGTACACAGCTTAATCGTAAACATGCACATTCCTATCCAGACTGAAACGTGTAGCGCTAAACAACTTGTTCTTTCATCAATTTTCTTTTTGTTTTTTGACGCTCGGTTGCACAACCAGTGGTCCATATTTAGAACAGCTTACCGAAGAAGCCATACCCTATTGCATAACGCGCAGAAAAACCTTGAACTGACCGGCGAGGGATCAACTACCCCTAGGCTGACTTGTCTAATCTAATATGCTCGAAATTTGTTCTATCTTCCGGTCGTAATACTGATCGTCCGAACCTGTTAAATGTGTGGTCAATCAGTCGACAAAAATGTTTCGCACACTCTCTCACCTCGTGTGTTTGTGTGTGTGTGTGTGTGTGTGTGTGTATGAATCCGTTTGTATCCTAAATCGTTCATGGAGCCATAGAAATGAGAACAAGGTTAAAATGTGCTCGAAATCACTTTCATGCCTGGGGGGGGAGGGGATATCAGTAAGTCACCGGTATCTCTCGGAAGCCAAGATATGCATGATCATAATGAGTGTATGGTTGACTGGAAGAGCTGAGCAATGTGCGTGAAGGTGAACTTGAAAGGATGATCAATTCCATCCGATCAACGGTATCACTTGGGGATAGTCAAATTTCAGCGAGATAGAGAGAGAGGGTCAGAAACAGAAAAGGAGAACAATGTGATCTTTTACATGTCAGGTACTAACCACTAAATTAGGCACTCGTGTGTTTGTTTGTGTCAGCCAATAATGGAGTTCAATAATTGAATATTTACTCCCTCGTATAAACTGTCCGCGTCTCTTTCTCTCTGTATTACGGTTTACTTAAGATCTTATGTATTGTTAGGTAATAGGTTTAGCAAAACGTTCGTTCCTCTCATTGTCTGCATCCGAACAACGTTGGCACGTTTTTCCGGATCAAACAGCGAAATATCGGTGTCTTTTATCCAACTACCATGGAGTAGAGCACAAGAACACATTCTGACCTTGAACGTGATCCGTCAATTTCACTTTACTATCGTTTGTGATATTGTCTGTGGTTATGACCATTTAGATACCCACAATTTATTGTACTTGACCTGTACTTACTAGTTGGAATGCAAGGCAGCACTGCAGTCTGAATGTACAACTCGAAACATCAAACGACTGTAACGTACCAGATAAGATTATGCCCCGTATGTTTTATTGTTCAACTGGATAAGAATCATATTAGGCTGCAAAGCGAANCAAAGCGAATCGATAACTTTAGCGTACTACACATAGGGGGTCCGATGGGATGAATCGATGATTTCTGCGGTTTGAAGCTTTTCCAGTTATGTTTTTGGGAATGAAAATAGATAGTCAATGCATACAAAATCGACAGACTCCACTGTGAATGCAATACCGAAAAAGGGTAAGAATTAAGAGACCTTAGAGAAAAATTTCAATCAACCATAGATTGCCATAGACTGTCATTTATTGTCTTGGCAATATATGTAGGCTATTGTCTTTTTTGTACTGTTATACCACTGGCAAAATTAAATCTCTTCAACAGTTCACATGTACAGGAAAATAGTTTGATTCCCAATGAGTAATCATATGACCTGTTATTGGTCACGTACAATTTGTTTTAATACAACAGGTCTGAAAAGATGAAATAATTCTGTTCATGCACATCGCGTTTGCGATATATGGTACGATCGAGAAATCGTTTATTCCCCCAGTATGCTATTCACACTTAGTTTTCGCATATTGTTCATAACTTTCCAATCAGATTGCTTAATGGCAGATTCAGAATTGTAAATTCAGATTTCCAGACGTGTTACATTTTCTCCATCCTTCGTGGAGTATACTGTCTCGACATAAGAAAACAATTATTCAGAAAATGTTTAGACACTTACAACGATTAAAATACCGGTCGGCGAGCCGACTAGTGTACTTACTTGATGCCGGATAGGCCAGTGTACGTTTTTCGCTCACTTCGGTTCCGTTGCGTAATTGAGATGCATCCGATGGTTGTGATCCGGGATCCCCGGGATCCATATCTTCATCCTCATCTTCGTCTTCGTCCTCTCCGTGGACAACTGTGCTGCATTTAGTCGGACAAAAATCCAAAAACGGTAGTTTTCTGTCTGGACTACGAGCTAATGTACTGTCCAGGTTTATGGAACTGGATGACGAAGTGGAACGTTCCTCGTGTGAACGTTTTTGTACCAAATCCAGAGCTGAATTGGTGAAATTGGTTGTTCCAACCGCACTTAGGAATGGATCTCCGGGGCTTGAATTCGGAGACAGTACGTCGATTTTGGTGTCCTGATTCAGAGTTGATGGTGGCACACCACTGGGATTGTCCGAACCCAGTGTAGTTACACTCGTTGTGGGTGGTGGTGGTGGTGGTGGTGGAGTCACGGTCACAGATGTCGTTGACGGGGATGAAGATGATGCTGGTGAACGGATTGAATGCATTGAAACGGACTGGATGAATTGTGGAAGTGGAGGCGCAGGAGGTACGAGATGCGGTGGTGGAGGATAAGAAATGGTGGCCCGCGGTGGGCCAGATATTGTTATTGGTCCGGTCATATTGCTTGAGTCCACAGTTAACAGAGGATTGTTGGCGGATGACCGGGCCATAAGCTTATCGACGGTTCGAAATGCACAATAGTCCTGCTCGGATCCGCTACGATTCGTTGGAATCGAATAACGGTCCGGTAATTCAGTGTTGCTATTTCAATGTCTGAACCGCTTTTGGGTATTACACTGACGAGTGTTTGTCTCCACGACCTTGTATGCATACACCGCAATATACGCACCAACTGGAGTCAGCCTGTCGAGCGACGAGTAAAGAGACATACGACCGCACGCGTGTAGAGATTTACTGGTCTGTATTGTGTGTGTGATTGTTCCGTCGGCAATTTTCAGACGCACGCAAACCCACACACACACACTCACACCGTCCAGCAGAACCACAAAAATGTCATCCACCACGGTGCGCGCATGCCTCCGGGGGGACCGAAATTATGCACATTCCTTTTTTCCCCGTAAGCCTAATAAGTGATGTGTGCGTGTGTGCGTTAGCTGGCACATGTGCACTGCAGTAGTCAGCTTACCCCCAAAGATTGGGATCCCAGCCTCGGATTGGCGGCAGCACTGATTTGCGTTAACGTGATAATTGAACCAATCGGATTGAAGAATAACACACGCGCCGCGTATGGTTAATCCAATTGTGGAGAGGAATCAGTATACATACACGCGCACATTCGCTCTGATGCACGCTCAAATGTGCGAACGCACCAGGGCTGACTGAGAAAGTGAGAGACAATGGATAAATGAATCGGATGGAGGGACGGTGATTGACTTCGACTAAAGCCACCGACAGTTACTGAGTCCTTCAAAGGGAAGCAGAAATACGAATGACGTTATTAGTGTCCGGCCTAGTGATGAGATTTGCAAGTGATGTCTTTCTACTTAGTGGAGAGCATTTTTGTGATTAGTAACTAGTGACTGTGCTACTGAGGATGTTCCCGTACGCGAAAGCCTACCAATTGTACGGTGCTTGTTGAGAAAGGTTTCGTTTTGACACAAACATCACAATGCGTGACAGTGTCCCAGTGGGGGTGAGCACATTCCACAGAAAGACTCTAGGTTCACCAGATTGATCTGATAAATGGGGTTTCCATCTATCACCTGTTTGTAGCTCAGGTGAATGCCTGTCATACGTTATATTGTTGAAGTCGGATCAAGTATAGTTGTACCCACACGGTCCGTAAAACCCTTCCTCCCAGTTCCTGTGGCAATACAGCTTTACAACCGTATGGGTCGAGTAATAACGATGCTAAAGGTTTTCATTTCCTTTCTTCAAGATTTGATGCACAGTACATGGCGGATAAGCACAGTAAGTGTGATAAGAAGAACATCGACTGATTTCTCTCTCTCTACCTCAGGTTCTTCAGCCATCCAGCCATTTTCCATCTTTTCAGTATCATTCATGATGAAAACTTTCTCTCCATGTAATACCGGACCGGTAAGTGTTACATGAATGTAACAAAATCAATTTATTTTTTCTTCAATTCTAACCGTTATTGACTCATGAGCTTCTTCTATCCTACGTACGCTCACTTCATCTGGTTAACCCGTGCACACCGACAGTTAGTCATATAAAACATGTGCACACATGCACATACACACGCACACACACACACAGGAGATAAGAACGTCAATCTGACTGATAATGATCGTAGCCTGAACAACCAATCTGTGAGTACTATTACTACTACTACGATTAGTAATAATTATCTTAATGATGATGATTACTTCCTAGTGGTTGAGAAGATGACATCTCCTAATCTGTAATGACTTTTTTGCTCTCTATCCCCATCTACCCCGGAGTTACGGGTCGCTCAGCTGCATTTCCGTCTAGCCCTACCCACTTTTGTTCGTCCTCATCTTCTCTTGTCCGGTTTCAAGTGACAGCTGCCCAAATCCACTTGTCACGGTCCATCTCTCTCTGCCTCTTTGTCCGTGTAACACACAAACATTCTATTCTTGTCAGTCTACACACACACACACACACATACACACACTTGTCTCCTCACCTATGTTCACCTGCTACTCGCACACACACAATCCTCGTGAAGAACTTAACACCCAAGAATGAGTAAGATATAAAAAAACGTACGAATTTGGAATTGCGCAGACTGGTGCGCATTCGCTCAGTCATTATCGAAAAGATGGTGGTGCTGGTGGACGCGGTGGTGGTCAGCTGATTGGACATCTGAATGGTGATAGAATCAGTACTTGATAGAGTCATGAACACGCACACACACACACACACACACACACACACACCTAAATGCGCGGGTGCGCATAGTGACAGACAGTAAGCTTCCCGTGGGAGGGGGCGAAATATGGCTTCCGTNTATGTCAAACACACGCAGCTTTGTGAAACTGTGTGTACAAATGTAGTAGCAGTAGTAGTAGTAGTAGTAGTAGTATAAAGACCTAAGATGTCAAACGGTTAGACAATTGCTCCCCAGGCGTTTTGGGATTCAGTGTATCAACAGAAAGAGAGCGGGACAGAGAGGGGTTCTCGGACCATAATGTCTTAGTTTCACAAGTCCAAGTGGTCCAGAAACCAATGCTCTGGAAAACTGACACGCGCACACGCATATACAGATGGCACACGGAACATGTCAGATACGCTGTGGTCATCAGTCACAACAAAACGTGTCACCCAACTTGATATTTTGGGTTCTTGTTAAACCATGATAGTCCAATGGAATTAGAAGAATTGCACAGTTCCTGATTTCCAGTACAACAAAAGTGTAAATGGATTTTCATTCGATTTTGTCAACTGTCAAAATATATTCAAAAATGGGTTGATTATGTTTTTGAAATGTTCGACCTAGTTTTTTGGGTTCCGCGGGTTGACTTGTTCAAATCGCATCAGATTGACTGAGGTTCCTTGTTTTACATTCCACGTCCAGTGGGTACAGTATCAGTATCTCCGGAAAATCGATGGAATTCATCGATCATGTCTTGGTGAGCACTAACCCCCATCATAACACGCAACAAGATGAACATCGTAATCTCAAACAGTTCCCTGATTGTTGGCATAGAATCACGCATTGTATGATTGAACTGTAAGACGGACAGAAGTGATTCTTCACCCGAAAGCATTGATGTGTGCAGGACTTGGATTTGTCGAGGTGGTCATTGTATATATCATTTTATTTCACACTTGTCAGAAGCCAGACTGTGTGCCAAGCAAATGAAGATACAGTAATTTTTATAAAAAGAAAAACGTTCCATGATTTGCTTGTGGGCGGAATACTGCTAGCTTGCCCAAGCCAAGGCAGGTGAAAATTTATTGAGGCATTCAAAACCGGAGCATTCAGCTAGCCAAAGTCTGACCTGCAAGGTAGCGGTGCGGTGTGAAAACTTCAATCTATTGGGAGCCGGTATCCATTTCATCGGATCATGCACCCTTTAGACGGGGTCAATTGTCCAAGGTGCCCAATACACCTCAATGCCCAACTGGGCCGGTGACCATTGCCACAACCGGAAAGGTGTGTGTGTAGTTCGTACGTCTCTTCTCGGTTGGTTTGGAATCAGGGTTTTTGGATAAATCCCCTAGATGTTCCACCAACCCAATCATAGCCCCCGACGTCGGCTTTTCGTCCTCTCACTTTAGTGAGGAAACACCTCCGCCACGAGAAGGTAGTGATTAGGGCTTCCTCAGCAGAGGCTATTTGAGACCCTGGGTCGTATGGGATCATTTTGCAAGACGCAAGGACGGGGTGACCAGTCGCAACCCTAGACACTCATCTCCGACCATCCTGAGGCTTTTGGAGGTGGTCATTAGCGAACAAAAATAATCGGATACACGTATATTCAAATCGCGAATATCAGCTGATCATCCAATGATCAAATGAGCACAGCAATTTCAGCAATCCAAGGTAACGTATACTGTTGATCGTTCACCCGACGATTCATAGCTGTGTATGGCAAATTGCTATTGTCAAAACAATTTAGAGTGATTTCGATTCACACAGACTATACGTGTAACAGGGGGAAATATCGGATTGTATTATTATGTATAGGTAAATGCAGTATACGGATATATTGTTCCCCTCTCCTGTTTCAACTTCAATCGTTTTTCATTTTATCAAAACATAATTTCGCTAATTGATCTATCATCCCCATTTTCCTGCCTTCTCACTACAACAAGATGAAGCTTCGTCAACTGTCCGAACTTAGCCGAGTGTTCCACAGGTCAAATAGTATAGCATTCCCTGATATCCAAGTGTTTGGGATCGTAGATCAAAGCCGATTAAAAACCGCATCCTGGTCACCGCAGAGGCGGTTGGAATTCGTCTGCATAATCCCCCCTTTGTGCGCCTAAAAGCAGTTTGTGAATTCACTCATTCACCTCCCATCCTCCTCATCCTCCCCCA